TGGAAATTCACCTTAAAGATACACTTGTACATGTGTGAAACGATATAAGGACATGATTCTTTGCAGCATCATGTGGAAAAGCAAGATTTGAAATGACCGAAAAGTCCATCCACAGGGGTTGCTTCAACAGTTTACGCTGCATCCACACAATGTACAGCTGTAAAAGGAAAAAGCAAATGTGCTCACTAGGTGCTAAGATGGAAAGATTTTTTTTTTTTTTTAAGACGGAGTCTTGCTCTGTCTCCCAGGCTGGAGTGCAGAGGCGCGACCTCAGCTCACTGCAACCTCCACCTCCCAGGTTCAAGCAATTATCCCGCCTCAGCCTCCCTAATAGCTGGGATTACGGGCACCTGCCACCAAACCCAGCTGATTTGTGTATTTTTAGTAGAGATGGGGTTTCACCATGTTGGCCAGCCTGGTCTGGAACTCCTGACCTCATGATCCACCTACCTTGGCCTCCCAAAATGCTGAGATTACAGATGTGAGCCACTGCGCCCAGCCTTGGAAAGATCTTAGAAAGAAGGTAAGTTAAAAAAACAAAGTGAATTATGTGATTTTGAGTCTCTGAAAGTTTGTCCTACTTAGAAATCTACTGTGACTTGCCTTCAGGCCATGCATCTAATAACCTTCAAAATCGGGTCTCTTGAAACAGATTTGATCATTCTGCCCTTTGGGAAGCTCCCAGGTGCAAGGGAAACTGAGGCCATAGAATAGGCTTCCAAGACACCCCAATTCTGTTCTGTTTCTCAGAACCCTGAAAGTGGAATCCTAGCTCAGGAAAAATGCAGAGTGTCTCCATCCAAGAACAAACACCCCCTTGCTTGTTGGAGCCCAGGCTCCTGAGAATTCGAAGCAGCTCATCCCATGAAAGGCACTGCACACCCCGCTGGGGGCTTCAGGTGGACTCCTGCCTCCTGGTGCACTGTGGCTTATCGTGGACAGAACATGTTCTTACCTGGTCTAGTGAGAGCCCTGGCCCAGCCCTCCACCGATGGCTCCTGCACCTCTGCCCCAAGAGTTTTCTGGTGCCTGGGGACGAGCAGAAAGGCAGGCTCAGTACTATGGCAAGGCCAGCTGGGTGTGCTAGAGAGCCAAGAGCCCAGGACGAGGCTCCACCAGTGAGGGACGAAAGCTGAGGGACAACTACTGGTGCATCTTCACACCCTTGGGGAACAATCCTGAGGCAAGGCATGGGCTCCACATTCTCTCAGAGGGTCCCTAGAAGGACAAGTGCCAATTGCCTATAGCTGTAACCGGCTCATCAATGCCCCTTGGTCTTTTTCTCTTGGCTCTCATCCGAATACCATCTCTGGGTCTGCTTTAGGGGGAACCCAAACTCAAATAGTGTTCACAGGGACCCTCCTCAACTGTGGGCCATCAGCTGTCTCTCCAAACGCCAGCAGGAAAACCTCATCAGGTGACATGTGAAGCGAAGGAAAAATGCCTGGACTGGGAGTCAGAAGAATGGGGCTCTCCTCCCATTCAGCCGTCATAATCTGTGTAGCCTTAGAACACTCTCCTAACTTCTCTGAGCCTCTGCTTCTCAGCTGTGATACTGGATGGGGAACAGTCCAGTTAAGCCTGTTTTTATACTTGGAAAAACTTAGGAAAATTGTTTACAGCTGTCCCCTTGCCCCACCCCCCACTAACCTTTTTTCTTTCTTTCTTTCTTTTTTTTTTTTGAGACAGGGTCTTGTTCCGTCACCCAGGTTGGAGCACAGTAGTGTGATCTCAGCCCACTGCAACCTCTGCTTCCTGGGCTCAAGTGATTCTCTAGCCTCAGCCTCCTTAGTAGCTGGGACTGCAGGCATGCGCCACCACGCCTGGCTAATTTTTGTATTTTTGGTAGGGATAGGGTTTTGCCATGTTGCCCAGGCTTGTCTCAAACGCATGAGCTCACAGCGATCCACCTGCCTCAGCTTCCCAAAGTGCTGGGATTGCAGGCGAGAACCACCGCGCCCGACTCTTTTTTTTTTTGGAGATGGAGTCTCTGTCATCCAGGCTCTGGAGTGGAGTGGCGCGATCTTGGCTCACTGCAATCTCTGCCTCCTGGGTTCAAGCGATTCTCCTGCCTCAGCCTCCCAAGTAGCTGGGACTATAGGCACGTACCACCATGCCCAACTAATTTTTGTATTTTTAGTAAAGATGGGGTTTCACCATATTGGTCATGCTGGTCTTGAACTCCTGACCTCGTGATCCACCTGCCTCAGCTTTCCAAAGTGCCAGGATTACAGGCATGAGCCATAGTGCCCAGACTCCTTTTCTTTTTTTAACATTCAAAATGAACATTATTGACATGAGTCCTATTTGCAGAGGCAGGTAGGGGGGACTAGTATTAAACTTAAATTGCATGCTAACTTATTGCATAAAAGAATAGCAATGAGGAAATTGACACTAATTTTTAGCCACTATCATTTTGACAGATGGACTTGTTTGAAAAGTTGCAGCATGGGGGCAATGAGCACTCTAGGCTTTCATCCTGAAATCAGACCCCACGTGGCATCACCAAGCCAGGTGGGCTGTAGCAAGCTTAGGGGCCACAGGGCCACAAATGTAAACCACTGAGACTTACGGAGGCATTATCACACGTCAATGTCACAACTCCATAAAGCAGGCCTGTTATCATCCCCATTGTCCAAATAAGGGAGCAAAAGCCAGGCACGATGGCTCATGCTTGTAATCCCAGCACTTTGGGAGGCCAAGGCGGGCAGATCACCTGAGGTCAGTTTGAGACCAGCCTGGCCAACGTGGTGAAACCCTGTCTCTACTAAAAATACAAAAACTGGGCATGGTGGTGCACGCCTGTAATTCTAGCTACTCGGGAGGCTGAGGCAGGAGAATCGCTTGAACCTGGGAGGCGGAGGTTGCAGTGAGCCAAGATCACGTCACTGCACTCCAACCTGGGTGACAGAGCACGACTCCATCTCAAAAAATAATAAGGGAGCAGAGACCTAATATCCCACAGCTAGTCCAGCAGAGCGAGGTTCACACTTGAGTTTCATAGGCCCCAGACCTCGCTCATGACCATGACCCTTTGTATCTTACTGGACAAAACAGTCTCTTAAGTCCTTTGCCTCTCCAAACTCTTTGGTTTCCATGCTCCTATCTCCCACATTCATTATTCCTGCCACCATGCTCAGGTGAGAGGCCTGACTACACTGTCATCCCGACTGGATACCAGGTTGCCTTTGCAGCCAGGGAACACTTCAGCAGACGCTTCGCCCTGGGACACAGAGTGAGCAGCAGGATAGAGAAGGGCTCAGAAGAGGGCGGCCTCGGCAAAGTGATAGGCCATGCCCTGGGGGTGCTTTCACTCCGCAGCCTCCATGGGTTTCAGTGGCAGCAAGTGTGGGGCCGCGTGCCTGTAATCCCAGTACTCAGGGAGGCTGAAGTGGGAGGATTACTTGAGCGTAGGAGTTCAAGACCAGTCTAGGCAACACAGCGAGACCCCGTTTCTACAAAAATTTTTTAAAAATTAGACAGGCGTGGTGGCATGTGCCTCTATTCCCACCCACTCGGGAAGCTGGGGTGGGAGGAAGGCTTGAGCCCATGAAGTTGAGGCTGCAGTGCGCCCTGATCATGCCACTACACTCCAGCCTGGGTGACAGGGCAACACCCTGTCTCAAAAAAAAAAGAAATGGTAGCAAGTGGTGACTTGGTGACAGGGCAGCTTCTGCTTCCTAGCCCCACATCACTTCCCTTATCACAAATCCTCATTCCCCCATTCATGATGGCACTGTCCTCTTCCCATCTCTCATGCACACTGCGCTGCACTGCTCAGATCCCCCTGCTAGGACTGAAGGATCAATCTCCGCAGAAAGTCCTGCCCCATGGCCCCAGCTCAGGACAGCTCTGAAGGGCCAGCCTAGCCCCAGAGCTCCCAGAGGGGGCTGGCTGGGGCTTCGAGAAGGCCCAGCAGCCCTACTCTCCCTCCCCGCTCCTTCCCCTCTGCCCACAGGTGTTCATGCTGAAAACACGTCTTAAGAAACTGCTGGCCCGGCCGGGTGCAGTGGCTCACGCCTGTCATCCCAGCACTTTGGGAGGCCAAGGCAGGCAGATCACCTGTGGTCAGGAGTTCAAGATCAGCCTAGCCAACATGGTGAAACCCCATATCTACTAAAAATACAAAAACTTAGCCGGGTGTTGTGGTGGGTGCCTGTAATCCCAGCTACTCAGGAGACTGAGGCAGGAGAACTGCTTGAACCCGGGAGGCAGAGGTTGCAGTGAGCCAAGGCCTTACCATTGCTCTCTAGCCTGGGCAACAAGAGCGAAACTCCGTGTCAAAAAAGAAACTGCTGGCCTGTCATTTAGTCTCAGAGATTCCTTCCCAGAAGCAAGTCCCCTCCATCATCTTTTCCCTTCTCACTGTGGAAGCCCCCCAGTGTCTGCATGGTATTCCATGGTGTACATACTATGCAGCCATAAAAAAGAATGAGATCATGTCCTTTGCAGGAACATGAATGGAGCTGGAGGCCATTATCCTTAGCAAAGTTATGCAGAAAGAGAAAACCAAATACGGCATGTTCTCATTTATAAGTGGGAGCTAAATGATGAGAACACATGCACACATAAAGGCGAACAGCACACACTGGGGTCTACGGAAGGGTGGAGGGAGGGTAGAGGGAGAGACTTAGGAAAAATAACGAATGAGTACTAAGCTTAATCTCTGGGTGATGAAATAATATAATCTGTATGACAAACCCCTGTGACACGAGTTTAACTATATAATAAACCTGCACATGTAGCCCTGAACTTAAAATAAAAGTAAAAAAAAGAAACAGAAACTAAAATCATGATCTTGGGGAAAAAAATAAAAAGAAGTCTCCCAATATAAAAGGCCGCCAAGTGCTTACAGGAGACCCTTTCCCAGCCCAGTCACAATTTAGTGCCAGCTTTTCTCCCCAGCAGTGGGGTAAAGGTGGGCGCTCACTAACCACCTGTGGGCTTGGGGCCACGTTTCCCACCTTCCCACAGGTAAGTGGTGAATGAGCAGTGCAGCCTGGGGAAACCGAGACAACCTTTAATCAGGAAACCTCAGGGGGACGCAGGACACCTGGCGGTACAGTCCCAGTGAGTGGAATCCCAGCTGGACGCGTCTCTTCCTCTAGGAGAACTTGGCAGCCCCTGACCCTTCTCAAAAGATGAGCTGGCCACGCGGTCCAGGGAGGATGCTGACAGTGGAAACCACTTCCTCCGTTCTTACAGCACATTCCAAACACTTCCTGGGAACAAGGTTACATCCAGCCTTGGGGGTCTTCCATCCTCACCAGGGCCCCTGCAGGAGGGAGCCCAGGCATCCCCACTAGGTTCACCCTTGGAGCCACTGGCAGAGTGTCCTCTCTCCTGAGTCTTCCGGACACAGTGACCGGCTTACATGGTGGACTCTTCCCCCTGAGAGGCCCCCACTGGGGGCTGCTGGGGGCCGTGGTGGGTGGTGGCTGCAAGGGCTGCAGAGAGTCTAGAGGTGGTGGAAGAAAGCGTGCGAGTCCCGAGGAGGGTGATGGGGGTCTTCGAGGGGCTGGGGTCCATCATGGAAAGTGCTGAAGCTTCTGTCAGGACGGTGGCAGGCAGAGGAGGCCACCTGGACGCTATCTGGGCCCCAGAGGCTGAGAATGAGTGCTCTGGAGTCACAGGAGGTGGCTGAGGAGCCCCTGGGGAAGCTAGAGGTAGAGTGGGGGCTCCTGGAGGGGTCGAAGGCCCTGGTGAGAGTCGAGGGGAGGCCCCAGGCTCCCCTGGGAAAGTGCCTGTGGGCCCCAAAGCGGGTGAGTGTGGACCAAGAGCTCCTGCTGGGCTTGTAGGTAAAGACTGTGTTTTTGTCAAGTTCGTTCTTAAAAGGAGCTGAAGCAGATGGAGCGCCGGCCTCGAGAGTGATGCTATTGGGGTCCCAGTGCAGGAGCTACAGTTGACAGGGGCCTCAGTGTCTCCATGCAGGCTCCTAGCAGCTTTGCTGAACGCCACATTTCCGTGAGCGGAGAGTCCCTGCTTTTCTTCCAGAGGAGAAAGGGAATCTAGAGAGAGGAGGGCGAAACGAGATGCACAATGGTTCTCTCCAGTGGCCAAGGTGGCTCTGGGACAAGGTACGCCAGGGACACCCAAGCTCTGTCCTCGGAGAGGCCTCAGCACACCTGGTGAGGACCAGCCAGCAACTGCCTCCAGGAAGGGAAGACTGAAGGAGCCATGAATGGAGGGAGGCAGGCAGTTAGTTGTGTGACCTCACGCAAGGCATGCAACTCCCCTGGGCCTCTGTTTCCTCATCTGTAAAATGGGCACAGCAGTAAGGACCGAGTGTGAAAGAAAGGGTGCATGGAGAGTCTCAGCCTAAACCTCAATGTGAACTATAGACACTGGATGTCAATGACATGTCAGTGTCAGTGCGGGATCACCGATTATAACAAACATGCCACACTGGTGTGGGGTGCTAATAGGGGGCGATGCTGTGGCATGTGGAGTCTAAGACATATGGGAACTCTCTACGTTCCACTCAATTTTGCCATGAGCCTCAAACTGTTCTAAAAAATAGTTTCTTTGAAGAATTTTTAGAAAAGTCTCAGCCTAGGGCTTGGCACATCATAAAGGCTCAGCATACAAGGAGAAAATAAACACAGATGTGCCTCGACTTACAATAGGGTCACATCCCAATAAACCTGTAAATCAAAAATGCATTTCTGACCAAGCACAGTGGCTCACGCCTGTAATGCCGACACTTTGAGAAGCCAAGGCGGGCGGATCACCTGAGGTCAGGAGTTCGAGACCAGCCTGGTCAATATGGTGAAACCCCATCTCTACTAAAAATACAAAAATTAGCCGGACGTGGTGGTGTGTTCCTGTAGTCTCAGCTACTCGGGAGGCTGAGGCACGAGAATCACTGGAACCCGGGTGGCAGAGGCTGCAGTGAGCTGAGATCATGCCACTGTACTCCAGCCTGGGAGACAGAGCAGGACTCCGTTTCACCAAAAAAACCAAAAAGGCTTTTTTTTTTTTTTTCCTTCTTTGAGACAGGTTCTCACTCTGTTGTCCAGGCTGGAGTGCAGTGGTGTGAACATGGCTCACTGCACCCTAGACCTCCTGGGCTCAAGTGATCCTCCCACATTGGCTCTCCTAGTCGCTGGAACCACAGTCACATGCTACCACACCTGGCTAGTATTTATTTATTTTATATTTTATTTTATTTTACTTTACTTTTTACTTTACTTTACTTTTACTTTATTTTAGTAGAGACAGGATCCTACTTTGTTGCCCAGGCTGGTCTCAAACTCCTGAGCTCAAGTGATCCTCCTGCCTCAGTCTCCCAAAGTGCTGGGATTATCACTGTGATCCACGGTGCCCAGCAAAAATGCATTTAATACAGCTCACTTCCTGAACCCTGGCCAACCTTATGTGTGTTCAGAACACTTACATTGGCCTACAGTTGGGCAAAATCATCTAAGTTAAATCCTATTTTTTTAATAAAGTGCTGAATATCCATGTGTCACATATTGATAACCCAGAAAAAGATCAAAATTCAAAACACAGCAAAATTTTGATGGTTTTGTACCTTGTAAAGTCAAAAAATCATTAAGATAAACCACCAGAAAGTCAGGAATCATTTGTGAAAAAAGGAAGAAGCTCAGCAAAAAGAAAATGAAGAGTGAAGAAGCAAAAAAAAGAAAGAGTATCAGGCCAGGCACAGTGGCTCATGCCCATAATCCCAGCATTCTGGGAGGCCGGGTGGAAGGATCACTTGAGGTCATGAGCTTGAGACCATCCTGGCCAACATGGTGAAACCCCATCTCTACTAAAAATACAAAAATTAGCAAGGCATGGTGGTGCCTGTAGTTCAGCTACTCGGGAGGCTGAGGCAGGAGAGTTGCTGGAACCTGGGAGATGCAGGTTGCAGTGAGCCAAGATCATGCCACTGCACTCCAGCCTGGACAACAGAGCGAGACTCCATCTCAAAAAAAAAAAAGAAGAAGAAGAAGAAAGAGTATCAAAGGTATGATCAAGGAAAAATCAGATGTTGTCAAGCACATAAAAAACTGGAATGATTATATTTTAAAAATCAACTATTCGTATTAATAGATGGTTGCATAACTCTAAAAATACGCTTAAAATGATTGAATCATATACTTTAAATGTGTGAACGTATGATATATGAACTATATCCTAAGAAAGTTGTTATACTTTTAAAAAATCATCAAAAGAGGCTGGGCTCGGTGGCTCATGCCTATAATCTCAACAGTTTGGGAGGCCAAGGCAGGACGATCGCTTGAGTTCAGGAGTTGGGACCAGCCTGGGCAACACAGCAAGATAGTGTCTCTAAAAAAATAAAATAAAATAATTAGCCAAGCGTTTATCACTTCATGGGCTTGGAAATAAAACAAAAAATTAGCCAGGCATGGTGACACGCACCTGTAGTCCCAGCTACTTGTGAGACTGACAGTAGGAGGATTGCTTGAGCCCAGGGAGTCGAGGCTACAGTGAGCTGTGATCACACCACTGCAGTCCAGCCTGGGCAACAGAGTGAGACCCTGTCTCAAAAAAAAAAAAAAAATCATCAAAAGAAACATATTCTACTTTAATAAAAAGTTGTTTTCCCTTAAAGAGAGTCCTTGTTAATAAGAAGTATGTGGTAAACATAACATGTTTCAGGAGAAGGAGCTGGGCTCTGGAGGTTACCTCTTTGTTTTGTTTTTGTTTGAGACAGAGTCTTGCTCTGTTGCCCAGGCTGGAGGGCAGGGGGCAGTCTCAGCTCACTGCAACTTCCATCTCCCAGGTTCAAGCAATTCTCCTGCCTCAGCCTCCCAAATAGCTGAGATTACAGGTGTGCACCGACATGCCCGGCTAATTTTTCTACTTTTAGTAGAGACAGGGTTTCACCACATTGGACAGGCTGGTCTCGAACTCCTGGCCTCAGGCGATCCGCCCACATCAGACTCCCAAAGTGCTGGAATTACAGGCATGAGCCACCATGCCAGGCCTGGAGGTCACCTCTTTGGGCCTCAGTTTCCCCATGTGGAGGTAGGAGGGCAGGATGGGAAAGAGCACAGGATAGGAAATAAGAGAGACCTAGGCTTAAGTCTTACACACCAACTAGAAACTTAACTTCTTTGAGCCTCCACTTCCCCACCTGCAAAATGGGGAACATGGCAGCCACGCTGGAACATTCCATGAACATTTAAATGAGGTAATACATTTAAGGTATAAAATGCTGAGTAAACTGCCTGGCATGTTAGCTAGCAATCAGTCTCTAGACAGTCAGGGGACTAATATCCACTAGCATGCAGAGAAGTCTGTGGTGGTTACAATGAAGTACAATCTATGATGTCCCCAACATGATGGATTTAAAGGCTCAGTGGATATTCCCGGCGCCACCCGCCCTAAAAGCTCATCATCCACAGATCTGAAGAGCTGCCCCCGAAAAGAGAGCATACTCTTCGAAAGGTCAAAGGAGTTAAACAAACATTTTATAAAAAAGGAAATTCAGGCCACCATCAGTGAAAAAAATCCCTGTCTTCCTAGAAGTTTAAAAAACATAAAATAGATCCAGCAATCCCACTGCTGAGTATTTACCCAGAAGATTTAAAGTCAGTTTGGAGAAGACAGCTGCACTCCTGTGTTCACTATGACACTATTCACAGCAGCCAAGCTACGGAACCAACCTAAGTGTCCGTTAATAGTACTTCATTGTGTGCATATACCACATTTCTTTATCCAGAATGGAATATTATTTAGCCTTTTAAAACAAGGAAATGACAGGCTCACGCCTGTAATCCCAGCACTTTGGGAGGCCGAAGGGGGCGGATCACTTAAGGTCAGAAGTTCGAGACCAGCCTGACAAACATGGTGAAACCTTGTCTCTACTAAAAATACAAAAATTAGCCGGGCGTGGTGGTATGCGCCTATAATCCCAGCTATTCAGGAGGCTGAGGCACGAGAATCACTTGAACCTGGGAGGCGGAAGTTGAAGTGAGCTGAGATAGCGCCACTGCACTCCAGCCTGGGTGACAGAGTGAGAATCCTCAAAAAAAAGAAACAGGAAATTCTGTCATTTGCAACAAGATGGATGAAATTGGAGGACATTAGGCTAAGCGAAATAAGCCAGACACACAAAGACAACCATTGCAAAATCTCAGTTTTATGTGGAATCCAAAATGATTGAACCCAAAGAAGCAGAGAGTAGAATCGTGGTTACAGAGGCTGGTGGCGGTGAGGGGAATGGGGAGATGATTGTCAAAGGGTACAAAATCTCAGTGGGACAGGAGGAATTTGTGTTGTGTTTTGTGTTGTTTAGAGACAGCGTCTCTCTGTGGCCCCGGCTGGAGTACAGTGGCATCAGTTGTTGGGAATCAATCCACTGTCCTATTTAAAAGCATCGACTCCAGGCTGAAATCCTGGCTTTACCACCAGTCAGCTATGTGAACTCAAGCACAGCACTTCACCTCCCTGGGTCTGTTCCTCACCTGGCACAGGATGACAGGAGTATTGCAGGGGTATAGACACATGAGGTGTCGCGGCACACAGCGGGTGCTCAATGCATGTTAGAGATTACTCTTCTGTAAAACGGACTTAGTTCCCATGTTGTAATTTAAAATAAAGAAGAAAGCAGAGGAAGAGATTAAGAAAGGAGATAAAGAAGAAAAAGGGAGTACAAATAAACAAACACCATCGTGTGTGGCATCATGAGCATGGGACGAGGGTCAGCAGGTCACAGCACAGCTGTACAACTGTACGCGAGCTGTGTTCCCTCTCTGAGCCTGGCTTTCTCTCATCCGGCCCTTTATAAGTTCTACGTACTGGGGAAGAAGAGCAAGATGGAATAAAATGGTGGAGACACTCCAGGACCCAGAGGCCCACTTACCTGGGCAGGAAGAGCAACAGTCCCCAGGGAGCAGGGCAGGGTCAGCACAGGCCCGCTGGCAGGGAACCTTCTCGCAGCTCACCTCTCCCAGCTGGGGAAGCAGAAGGACCCCCATGAGGAAGCCCAGAGCATCTTGCCTGCCCTGGGCAGTGCCCTCAAGGGCCTCTTGCACCAGCAGCAGGACCCATGGAAAGATCCCGGGACAGAGGCTGCAGTGCCTGAGCCCTCGCCTGGAGAACAGGTAAAGCCAGCCATGGCAGGACCCCCTTAGGGAAACCACTTCTCCCTCTGGACTTCCACAGAGGGAGAGATGGTCAAAACCACAGATATTCTGGCAGTTAATTAAAGGTGGAGGATGGCAGGAGAATGGACTTATGCCAGCTAAGGGGCTCCATGTTTTGCAAAGGGACAAAAGGCAAGAAGCCGCCCTCTTCTGGGGCCGCTCTTGGGTTCCCAGGCCCAGCTCACCTGGCACGTGCACCTGGTGCAGGGTTCATCATCCAAGGTGAACACCTGGCCATTCGCCACCTTCCTTCCCTCGTAGTTGCAGTCTGTGGAGGCAGAGGAGACAGGAGCCCATGAGAGCCAAGGCCTGGCTGGGAGCCTTGCATGTGGGGTAGCTGGTCCCACTCACCTCGGCACACGGGACAGCACTCCCCGTCAGGGTGGAAAGGGTAGGTACAGGTGATGGGGCAGTCCACGGGGGAACAGGCTACTGAGCCCAGCTGCAAGACACAGAAAACACACGAGGCCCTCGGTTCAGGGCAGCTGATGAGACACTCAGGAAAATGCCGCTCCTATAGCCACTGAGTGCTCATCAGAACGATCAACATTGTGGGAGGAGTCCATGGTGGGACAGTGGAGCAGGGAGCACGTTTTCTCTGTTGGGGTCCATCTTCCCACTAGAATTCAAGCCCCTCAAAGGTAAGAACATGGCCCTGTCCACGGAGTGCATCTGTTAACAGATGCCTGTTGCACGAACTGCCCAGAAAAGATGAGCACCAAAACCCAAGAGAGGAAGATCCAGGGGCCAAAGTTCCCCAAAGCCCGAGGCTGAGAACAATTGGGGCCTACGTGCAGTGGGTCACTCAGGGTAAGTAGCCCAGGGCTGTTTACATGCACAGGGCTGTTTACCCTGAGTTTCTCAATCTTTCTGCAGATGGTGTCCCTTGTCACGCATGCACTCTGCTGAGGCTCACAGATCACCAAAGGAGTATTGCATCTGTACCCACGCCAGCAAAGCAGCGTCATCCCACATTCAGACCGTCAGCATAATAAGCATTAAGAATTTTTTGCCCGGAGCGGTGGCTCACTCCTGTAATTCCAACATTTTGGGAGGCCGAGGCGGGCAGATCACTTGAGATCAGGAGTTCGAGACCAGCCTGGCCAACATGGCAAAACTCCGACTCTACTAAAAGTACAAAAATTAGCCGGGCGTTGTGGCACGCACCTGTAATCCCAGCTACTTAGGAGGCTGAGACAGGAGAATTGCTTGAACGTGGGAGGCAGAGGTTGCAGTGAGCCAAGATTGTGCCACTGCACTCCAGCCTGGCGACAGAGCGAGACTGTCTCAAAAAAAATAAATAAAATAATTTTTTTTTCATCCGGGCATAGTGGCTCACGCCTATAATCCAGCACTTTGGGAAGGTGAGGTAGGAGGATCACTTGAGGCCAGGAATTCAAGACCAGCCTAGGCAACACAGCAAGATTTTTTTTTATTTAAATATTTTTTATATAAAAATATTTTTTATATAAAAATTTTATAAAATAAACTTTTAAAAAAGAAAAAACGTTTTGCCTGGGTGCAATGGCTCATGCCTGTAATCCCAAAACCCTGGGAGGCCGAGGTGGGAGGACTGCCTGAGCCCAGAAGTTCCATACCAGCCTGAGCAATACAACATGACCCCATCTCTATGAAAAGAACGTTTTAATTAGCCAGGTGTGGCGGTAATCCTGGCTGGGTGTGATCCCACCTACTTGGGACGATCGCTTGAGCCTAGGAGTTCAAGGTTGCAGTGAGCCATGATCACACTACTGCACTTCAACCTGGGTGACAAAGCAACACCCTATCTCAAAAAAAAAAAAATTTGTTTTCATTCTCCAAAAATTAAATGATACTACGTGACATGCTTTTTCAGACTGAGGGGCAGTATGACTCAGGAGAATACATGTGCATCTCGGAATCACAATGCTAGGGTTCCATTCTCAGTACTTTGATTAACTAGTTATGGGATCTTAAGCAAAGACTCTCTCTGTGCCTTGGTTTTCTCATCCAGAAGAATGAGATGATAAATTCTGGAATGGATTAGCTGAGTGCATGCCTATGAGGGGCCTGGCACACAGCAAGAGCTTGACCATGTGGGTCTATTGAAAAGGTTGCAGTACTGGGTTCTAGGTTTGTGCGCTTCACCTCCACCCTCATCAAGAATCCCTGAGACCATCTCTAGTGGGTAACCCGGAAGCAGAGGACTTTGCCAGCCAGGTTTAAGAACATTTATCTGGGCTGGGCATGGTGGCTCATGCCCGTAATCCCAACACTTTGGGAGGCTGAGGTGGGCAGATCACCTGAGTTCAAGAGTTCAGAAACAGCCTGGCCAACACGGCGAAACCCCGTCTCTACCAAAAATACAAAAATTAGCCGTGCGTGATGGTGCATGCCTGTAGTCCCAGCTACTCGGGAGGCTGACACAGGAGATTCGCTTGAACTCGGGAGGCGGAGGTTGCAGTGAGCTGAGATTGCACCACTGCACTCCAACCTGGGAGCCTGGGTGATAAAGCAAGGCTCCATCTCAAAAACAAACAAAAAAAATTTATCTGGCCCTGTCTAAAGGGTCACCCTGGGCAGGACTGGAGGGAGCTGACTTCCACCATGAACCAGAAGCATCCCTTGTCGTGGAGGTCTCTGGATTTTGCCTCTGGGATTCAGGAGCCGATGTCAGTTGTGGGGGAGTTTCCAGAGGCAGGGGTCAGATCTGGGTGGTCCATACCAGGCAGATGCAGCTCAGACATGGGTCCAGCACAGACGGGAAGGTCTCGTTGTTATAGAAGATTCTGCCTGTGTAGGTGCAGCCTGCCAGAGAGAGCACGTGCTGAGCACCAGCTGGGAGTGGCCAGGGACCAGGCTCCCCGCCAGGGCCAAGGTCAGAGGCTTATCTGGATAGCAAACGGGAGGCCATGTGCCTCCCCAGGCAGTCACCCTGGGAGTTAGGGAAGGGACGAAATGCCTGTCTGGATTGTCTCAATCGTGTATTGACTTTTTTCCCACCGGATTCAGCAAAAGGATCAAGTGTCTTGGCCTCAGTATTCTCACCCTGGAGAGTGGGGAGATTCGTCCTCTACCTCCTCACCAGGGAGGATCAGGCGGAAGGACTGGAAATACGAGGTATGTGTGAGGCCCCCCAACTCCTCTCTGCCTTCCAAACTCAGTCAAACCACCAACCCCACCTGTCCAGAACATTCCCCAACACCACTCCCCCCTCTGACTCCTGACAGCCCCAGAAGCCTGATCTGAGTGATGATACTATAACATACTGGTAAGTGTAAAAGCAAGTGATGAGATAGTAGGGGAAGCTTTAAAAAAAAAAAAAAATATATATATATATATATATATGTAACATGTACATCTACTGTGTGTGAGCATCACAAAAAGAGACTAGAAGGACATAAACACAAATTTAACAGTCATAATAGGTCCTTGTTAATATTTTTTATTTTTGCTCTCTGTGCTTTTTTCCTAAATTTTCTATAAAGGAGTCGGGTGCGTTGGCTCACGCCTGTAATCCCAGCACTTTAGGAGGCCAAGGCAGGTAGATCACCTGAGGTCAGGAGTTTGAGACCAGCCTGGCCAACATGGTGAAACCCCGTCTCTACTAAAAATACAAAAACTAGCTGGGCGTGGTGGTGGGCGCCTGTGATCCCAGCTACTCAGAAGGCTGAAGCAGGAGAATCGCTTGAACCCAGGAGGCGGAGGGTGCAGTGAGCTGAGATTGTGCCACTGCACTCCAGCCTGGGCGACAGAGCGAGGCTGTCTCAAAACAAGTAAAATAAAATAAAATAAATTTTCTATAATAAAACATTACTTCTGAAATCATGGAAAAGGTAAAAATGACTATTAAAAGGCAAAAATGACTATTAAAACTTCTCTCCTCTTGCTGTTTTCCCATTGTCTCACAGGTACAGCTCCTGTACCGCCCACCTGCACTGTAAGTCCTGCATGTCTTCAGATCTGCCTCCAGCACTCAGACGCGGCCTGACTTGGGCAAACTGTTTTACCTCAGTTTCTTTATCTGTGCAATGGGGTTGTCCCTTGGGGTTGTTAGGACAAGAGATGAAGGTTGTATAGGGCTTAGAGCAAAGGAGCCCGGTGCAGGGTGAACCTGGAGGTGGGACCCCCTGAGATGCCCTGCCCTGGGGGCTGGGGGTGGAGGCAGGGGATTACCTGCTGAACAGTCTGGGCAGCACTGTCCAGGGATCCGGATCGGGTGAGGGCAGGAGTCCACACAGTCTGTTCTCTTGCAGCTCACCGAGCCATCTGCCTGGAGGAAGGAGGAACTTCACCAAGACCCCACCGGTGACACCAGCCCCTGCCTCCCCGCCCTGCAAAAGAAACGGCAATGTAGCAACCTGGACAAGGCTTGCCCTGAAAGGCACCATGATGCAGCTGAAAGGTGGCAGGTCCCCCTAAAGAGGATCGGTTACTTGGGAAAGGCCATGTGAGCCTTCCAGGAAGTCTACGCATCTTTAAGGAGAAGGAAAGTCAGGGCTGGGATTCTGGTCTCCTCGGCTTCCTGTAGCAGCCAAAGGCTGCACCGTTACCCCCATCCAAATCCTTTCTCACCTTTTCCCTGGAAACCTGGCTCACCGGGAACCTACAGAGTACCATGAAACATTATTTTTAGAAAAAACAATGCCACCAGAAACGTCTATTTCAGAGAGCCAAAGTGCCATACAAGGTTTCTTTTCTTTTTTTTTTTTTTAAGACAGAGTCTTACTCAATATTGCCCAGGCTGGAGTGCAATGGCGCAATCTTGGCTCACTGCAACCTCCACCTCCCTGGTTTAAACGATTTTCCTGCCTCAGTCTCCTGAGTAGCTGGGATTACAAGCACGCACCACCATGCCAGGCTAATTTTTTTATATTTAGTAGGGACGGGGTTTCACCATGTTGGTCAGGCTGGTCTTGAACTCGTGACCTCAGATCATCCCCCCATGTCGGCCTCCCAAAGTGCTGGGATTATACGCGTGAGCCACCGCACCCGGACTCTTTTTCTTTAAAAAAAAAAAAAATCTGACAGTTTGAACCTTTTGTATCACTCTCTCGGTGACTGATTATGGGTGCCCGAAATCAGTCATAAAGGAGAAGATAGCACAGGATGGACTTTCCTCCCGACTCTAATTTCAATGAGACGTGTTCAGCTTACAGCTTTTTAACCAACGGCTCATCGAAGGCACTAGAAGGCTGGGCTTCTCCCACATGAAAGTGCACACAAATCACCTAGAGGTTAAAATGCAGTTTCTGAGGGCAGAGGTGTGGGCGGGGCCTCGAAAGCCTGCACGTCTAACCAGGGCTCCCAACGAAGGTGCAAGAGACCTCATTTTGAGAAATAAACCTCTAAAAGACTCGAAGCTCTTAAAGTAGAAAGGAAAGCCAGCATGTATTAGATTGGTGCAAAACTGCGGTTTTTGCCATTATACGTAATGGTAAAAAAAAACCCGCAATGACTAGTGCTTCAATAATGAGCTAAAAGAGTTGTATTTCTGGCTGGATAGCTATGTTTGCATTGCTGTCCATCTGACTCAAACTCATGCACCTCCTTACCCATTTCTGAAATGGTGAGGTCACACGATTTGCAGTCATGAAGAAAACATTGCAATTTCACAGAAACAGCCTGAACAACTAGGTCTCAGGCTGCCCCACTCCCTCAGTTATCCATGCCTGGGGAAAACCTTCTATGAAGATTCCTAATTCTTACTCCTCATGCCAGCAGTTCCCTGCACATGCACAGTGTGTTACACACACTTTTTTTTTTTTTTTTTTTTTTTGAAACAGGGTCTTTCTCTTTCACCCAGGCTGGAATGCAGTAATGTGATCACAGTTCACTGCAGCCTCGACCTCCTGGGTCAGCCTCAGGAGCTGAGGAAGCGATCCTCCCACCTTAGCCTCCCAAGTAGCAGGGACTACAGGGGCATGCCACTACACGCAGCTAATTTTTGTATTTTTTTTGTAGAGACAGGGTCTCTCCATGTTGTCCAGGCTGGTCTCAAATTCCTGGGCTCAAGCAATCTTCCCACCTCAGCCTCCCTAAGTGTTGGGATTACAGGCGTGAGTCACCACTCTTGGACATACACACTTTTTTTTTTTTGAGATGGAGTCTTGCTTTGTTGCCCAAGCTGGGGTGCAGTGGCACGATCTCAGCTCACTGCAACCTCCTCCTCCTGGGTTCAAATGATTCTCCTGCCTCAGTCTCCCAAGTAGCTGAGACTACAGGAACCCGCCACCATGCTCGGCTAATTTTTTGTATTTTTAGTAGAGACGGGGTTTCACCATGTTAGCCAGGATGGTCTCCATCTCCTAAACTTGTGATCCACCCACCTCAGCCTCCCAAAGTGCTGGGATTACAGGCGTGAGCCACTGCGCCCAGCCAACCATACGCACTTCTTAAGGCCAACTGCCAAGCACCACGGTCCTCACACATCTACCGAGGGCAGGATAAACTGCGTCCAACCCTTTCTGTGAAAGTGGAACTTGACAGTGCTGGAGGGAGACTGCAGCCAGCCTAAGGCCAGCCTCTGGAGGGGCCAGGACGCTTGTCTCCTCTGGGTGAGGCGGGGCAGCCGGGTAAAGCAGCTGAAGGCGAGCAGGTTGTCATTCACCTGGCAGATGCATAACTCACAGGGGTCACCAGGCGACCAGATCTGTCCAATTGGAAACTCAACCCCATTGTCATCGAGAGAGCAGCCTGGATGAGGACAATGGCAAAGAAAAGACAGTGGGCACAAGACCTAGAGTACAACAGCAGCAAGGACAGACACCTTATGCGCACACACACACACGAACACTGATATCACTCACACACGTCGACACACAAACTTACACTCATACAAATGCACACTTACATATACACACAGATATAACTCACACACACACTCATACAAATGCACACTTAAATACACACACACAGATACCATTCATGCACAAACACAGAGACACACACATACTGATACAAATGTACATTTGCATACACACACAGATACAACACAGACACACATACACGCATACAAATGTACTTACGTACACATACACATGCTCACAGATACCATTCATGCACAGACACACACACTCATACAAATGCATATTTATATATACACACACACAGATACAGTTCACGGAGACACACATACACTCATACTAATGCACACTTACACAT